CATACTTACTCAATCTGTATGCTGAGCAAATAATCCATGAAACTGGACTACATGAAGAAGAACGTGGCATCAGGATTGGCGGAAGACTCATTATCAACCTGCGATATGCAGAGACACAACCTTGCTTGCTAAGCAATCAGAACTTGAAACACTTACTGATGAAGATCAAAGACTACAGCCTTCAGTACAGATTACACTTCAACATAAATAAAACAAAAATCCTCACAACTGGACCAATAAGCAACATCATGATTAAAGGAGAAAATACTGAAGTTGTCAAAGACTTCACTTTACTTGGATTCACAATCAACGCCCATGAAAGTAGCAGTTAGGAAATCAAACGATGCATCGCATTGGGCAAAATCTGCTGCAAAACACCTCTTTAAAGTGTTGAAAAGCAAAGATGTCACTTTGAGGACTTCACTTTCAGCAACCAAGGTTGTGTCATCTGCATATCACAGGTTGGTAATGAGTCTTTCACCAACCCTGATGCCACGTTCTTCTTCATATAGCCCAGCTTCTTTGATTATTTGCTCTGTATACAGATTGAATAAGTATGGTGAAAGGACACAACCCTGATGCACACCTTTCCCGATTTTAAACCACGCAGTATCCCCTTGTTCTGTACAAGTGATTGTCTCTTGGTCTATGTACCTGACCCAAACCATGATACTTTCAATCACCTCATATGCATGTGAAAGGTGGACGATGAATAAGGAACACTGAAAAAGAATTGATACCTTTGAATTACGGTGTTGGCAAAGAATACTGAATATAGCGTGGACTGCCAAAAGAATGAACAAATCTGTCTTGGAAAAAGTACAGCCAGAATCCTCCTGAGAAGTAAGGATGGCAAGACTTCGTCTCACATACTTCGGCCATGTTATAAGGAGGGACCAGTCCTTGGAAAAGGACATCATGCTTGGTAAAGTAGAGGGTCAGCCAAAAAGAGGGAGACCCTCAACCAGATGGACTGACACAGTGGCTGCAACAATGAGCTCAAGCGTAACAATGACTGTGAGGATGGCACAGGACCGGGCAGTATCTCATTCTGTTGTATGTAGGGTCATTGTTGTGAATCAGAATCAACTGGACAGCAGCTAACAACAAAAAGAGGCAGGCTCATCTCTAGCGCAATCATATGCATTTATGACAACGTGATTTTCCCTTATTTTTTAAGTTGACACCTGTAATGACTAAGAACTTCACTGAAGAACCAAGTGAGTATATATTGATGTAGCCATGGTAGAATTTTAGATTAAAAAAACACTTTTTACTAATTAATTTCATCTCAAAGATATTATTTAGGTCCCCTGAAACCTGGAGTTGAATTAAGAGCGCAGAAAAACATACTGAGAAAGGAGAAGAATACAAAATTTAACAGCAATAAAAGAAAGCTATAGTCAATCTGTAGTGAGTGGTCTACTTACTAAAAGCAGTATCAATGTTAAAAATATCCATAATTAACAAAAGATTTTGAGTATTTCCTAAGAATTTGTAGGAACAAGATTTGACGTGTAGGAGGAAAGAACAATTACAGGGCAAGACATTTCCTTTGACTTTCCATTTTCCCAACACTGTGATATTAGCAGGGCTTCATTTCTGATTTTTTCTTCATCTCAACCTTAAAAATATATGAATAGTGGTTTGACATAAAAAAAAAAAAGTAAAAGAAACTTCAAGGTGAATGCCTTCATCAATTTTCTCTCTCTCTCTCAAATTTCCAAAGGATTGAAGAATACTGTTTTGGCCTTAGTACTTTACATTTCTTTGCTTTTGATCCTTTCCCAGAAGTTAGATGACATCAGTTTCCCCACGTCATACTTCTGAGCTATACATCATCTTCACATCAGTAGGGGTACAGATTCCCACTTTACTTAATCTACTTGATATTTTTAGATTTAACTTCATTTTCATCTCTTATACCAAGTAACAATTTTTAAAAGTTATACCTTGTGTCAATGTGGACTAATACCAGTTGTGGAAATATGTATAGTTTTACTGTTAATACATGAATTAATGAAACTAGACAAAAAAGGTTTTACTGCAAAGATCTTGGTACATGATTGGCCATAAATATTGATCTTTTCTTAAAACGTAATGTTTAGATTTTAATATAAATTTATAATCCTCAACTTTAAAAGAACTGTACCATAGTTTTATAATGATAATACACAATCAAGTGATTGCTTCTTAAGAACTTCTAACCTGTGTGTATAACTATAATATATGGATACTTCTGGATGTGTTTAACAATTCAAATAATACTATTTTCTTAGCAGATTTCTATAACATATAGAAAATATGCTATTTTCAGGTATAAGGGTTAGGATTCCAACACATACTTTGTGGGGACACAATTTTAATCTACAATGTGAATTCTTAAGCATATATTCCTGTTTTCTCTGATATCCTCTATTATACATCCAACATACAGAGAAGAGATAAACTCTGATTAAGTGAATGAAAGAATGACTACATAAATGAATAACATCACATTCTAAGGGCAAGATTTTTCACCTTTGGGCATTTTTATTAAAGAAAAATTTTGCTTTTAGCAAAACGGAATTGTCTCCTGGCCAGCTGGATCTAACCCTATACTTAAGATTTAAAAGCAGCAGCAGTAACCCCCAGCATATTTTCCTTTGGAAAAATAGCCAGCTTGTGCTTCTTCTTTTGAAGTTCAGACCTCACAAAAAGTTACTCTGTTACTTTCAGACCAGATTACTTGTGCTATACTTATAAGATCATCTAGGCAAAATGAAGACGTCATCTACTTAGGAAATGGGAGAAATATATCTACAGCGGATTTTATTAAAAATTCTAAAACAGCTTCTCTGAACTCCAAGGAGATTTTGGTGTTTGGCAAAGAACTTTCAAGTGCCTAAAGAGAACTTTGAAGTGCCTTACTTGGCTCAGAAAATGATTATGTTGAATTTGTACAGAAACTTTGTGGCTTTCAAGGTTCTTTCACTATCACTGAATGTTAAGTTTTTTTTTTTTTTAACAAATAAACTCTCAATATCTCACTGAAAAAAATATTTCTGAACTCTCATTGCACTTACTGTCAACAACTTGTTGTTAGTTGCTATTGAGCTGATTCCAATTCATGGTGACCCCACATGCGCTGAGTAGAACTGCACTCCATAGGGTTAAGGCTGTGACCTTTTGAAAGCAGATCTCCAGGCCTTACTTCTGGGTGGGTTTGAGCAGCCAATCTTTTGGTTAGTAGTCCAGTGCTTAACCAGCTGCATCACCCAGGGATTCCTCAACAACTTAGTACCTCGTTACTCTAGACTTCAAGTGCCTAACTTGGACCATAAAATCACTACAGACAGCATTATGTCTTGGACTATCTCTGCCAAACCTTCTATTTTTTTTCAGTATGATACTATAAAATGCATAAACATCGTAGGTACTAAACAAATGTTTGTTGATTTATTGTTATTTAAAGGCATTTTCTATAGGAACATAAAATTCAAATCAATAAACCAAAAGAGTATAAAGAAATTGACAAAAAAGAGAGAGAGAGAAAAAAAAAAGTGTGGTAAATTTAATAAGTGAAGGAAGTGGTTAACATTTTAAATAAGAAAAAAATTTAATTAATGAGGAACAAAGAAAGGGCATGCCATCCATAAAGAAAGCAAGAATGTCCTAGTATCATTATTCAAACTACAGTATAAGATACAGTTATTTGTCTTAAAATTTATTAAACATTGTAGCTCTGTTATGGTTTCATCTAATTCATGTTTGGTGATGTGAACAAAGCAGCAATAATCCTTGCGTAGAGGAGAAAATTGATCTCTTGTGATGTCACAGAGCATAAATTATTTTAAGATGTTCTATTCAGCAACTGAGCCAATACATTTTACTAACAATGTTTAATTCAGAACCATTTTTCTTGCTTCCCCAAACCTCCAAACAGGAACAACTTACATAAAGTCCAAAGAGAACACCCAGGATCAAACAAACTTAGTATCAAATTCTGTCTGGGAAGATTGCATAACCATTTCCTCTCCCTCTTTGTGATTAATTAGCTGATTATCTGGCAGTTAGCTAGGTGTATTAAACTCAAGAAAGTTTCCCTTCCTAAACCACTCTCAGGCCAGGTACCCTGCTGACCTTCCTCCTATTAAGGCTCTCATCACCCTGTATTGCAATTGCAAATTTCTTTAATATCTTTCCAACCAGATTATAAATTACTCTGGCAAGGGATTACACATTGCCTGGAACATAGTGGGAATGCAATCAATATTTATTGAATGAATCAATGTCTTTTAGCTAAAAGCTGCAGGGTAAAACCTAGTTATAAGTAGAGCCTAATCATTTATTGGAGCCCTGGTGGCACAGTGGTTAAGCGCTACAGCTGCTAACCAAAAAAGTCAGCAGTTCAAATCCACCAGCTATTCCTTGGAAACCCTATGCGGCAGTTACACTCTGTCCTATAGGGCTGCTATGAGTTGGAATCGACTTGACAGCAATGGGGTTTTTTTGGTTAATCATTTAGTACATAAACGAAGAAGACAAAATCTAATACTTTTACGTATGTTTGAATACTAGATAAGATGACAAAATCTTTCCTAAACAATGCTTTCACAGTAGTCCATGTTCAAATATAATAACTGGAACTTTCATTACCCAAATTTCTGAACAAAACCTACAGGCAGTCTTCTAAGAGGTCCTAAGACCTAAATCTCTATGTTTTTTTTAAAAAATCTGTTTTCATTTAAGAGTAAGAAAGCATCTGAAACCACTAAGTTCTATTTTCTTACATTCCTATCACTTAAAAAACAGCTGAACTGATTTTTCCTTTTTAAAAAAAAATTTACTGGCTAGTAATAAAATTCTGAAAATAGAGATCTGCGACAGAAAACTGACTCAAACTAAACCATAGCATGGCTTATAAAAATGTGATCTTTATGTTACAGTTACTTAATTTGGCTCACAGTTTAGTGTGTAAGTATCTCAAAAAATGTTTAATATATTACAATTTTACTCACTTCAAAGCTTCCTCAAATTTATGAATTTTTTTTTGAGCATCTTCTTTTTCTTTATCAAGTTCGTTCTGCAAGTCATGCACCTGCCATGACAAAGACACACAAAATGTACTGAAAGACAAGGAATATTTACTCAAAGGAGAAATGCAAATAATGAAACCGTCATCTTAAATCCATTTTTAACAGAAAATTAGATTGAGATTACTTCAGGATTGAGACTTCGTTAATCATAATCATTTACCATAAAATGATTTCAGGACTACCAATTTTCTGCTCCAAGTTAAAAACAGATAAATAGATTGACTCAACCTGCATGTGGATTCTCTGTTAAATTGATATGTAAGAAATTTTTAAAAAGGAGCAATAACTATTGAACAAATTTTTAATTACATACAATCCAAGGGAAAGAGTCTCATTAGATTTGAGAGTACAATAAATAATGTTTCTGTATTTCCCAAAACACATATGAATTATGATGAAATCAGGAGCCCGGGTGGCACAGTGGTTAAGGGCTCAGCTGCAAACCAGAAGGTCAGCAGTTTGAATCCACCAGCCGCTCCTTGGAAACCCTATGGGGCAGTTCTACTCTGTCCTATAGGGTCACTATAAGTCGGAATGGACTAGTCCTCTCTTTCACTGCTGGAATGAGTCTTCTCACATTTTACTGAATCTGGGAGAAAATTCATCCCTCGCCACCTCTGATGAGTGTATCTTTCCTGAATGAGTAGGTAGTATAGCAACATTGATAATGGGAGCCAAATGAAAATATCTCTTTACAGAAAGCTCTTCATATGCAAATGCAGATAAGCCTACCCATGTGCATATTTTAAGTATCATATAAAAGGGAAAGGAAACTTTGGTACTGATGGATGGAAAAGGAGGCAAAAACAGCAGCCATGGTTCCACAAACGTGGAAACTGAAGATGGAGAACCTAGCTGGTAGGTAAGAAAGTTCAAGTTACTTAGTGCAGTAGGAATACAGACTGGCTGGTTGGCAACCCAGATAAGGCTGAAGGCGCAAGTGAGGGGTCAGGGGTGGGGAAAGAATGATAAGAACGGCGACAAAACAGACATACACTGTAACAAACTATATCAAATACTAAAGCTGTACTAGCCCAAAATACCTGTAGTCATTTATAGTACTTTGGATGGGGACCTGTATTTTTTTTTTTTTTTAACTCTTTCTTTTTATAATTCTCTTGTATTTTTTTCCTTTGGTGTTTTAGTAAAAAAACGGTGATGATAATAATTACAATCAACTGTCTGCTTGTAAACTAAAAGGGTGGAGAGTAAACTTTCCATGGGAATATCAGAAAGCTTCTACGGCTGCTATGGTAGCAATCAGCAAAGCAAGAAAAAACTGAGAAAAGCAGACAGGAAAATGCAGGGTGGTGGAGAAAGTGGAGTATCAGGAGAATTAGAAGATCAGAATTCCTCTCGCCCCGTGTTTTAAATGGTAAATTTAGAGTATCTCATGAACATTATTTTTCTCATTAGAAAGAGTGAATGCAATTTTTTGTCACTACATTTATTTTACTTGAGCTGTAAAAAAGAAAGAATGTTGTTCAAAATTTTACCAGGTTCAAGACTGAAATGGTCTTATTTATCTTGGATCTCTAGTACGTACTACAGTGTTTGGCATGTAGTAGGTATATTAAATTGAAGTAAAAACATTACTAAAGCAACAGAAGCACCATTCCAGTGCTACAGAGATAGCTAGCTAGACAGCTAGTGTCAAGTCTATTCTGACACATGGTGACTTATGTACAACAGAACAAAACGTTGCCCAGTCCTGTGTCATCCTCATGATCGCCAGCAGGTTCAAGTCCATCATGGCGGCTATTGTGCCAATCCATCTCACCGAGGGTCTCCTTTGTCCTCACTGGCCTTGTACTTCACCAAATATGATGTCCTCCTCCAACAACTGATCCCTCCTGATGATGTGTCCAAAACAAGCAAGTCATCTCTAAGGCTCACTGTCCATTAAAAAACCAAATAGCGTTGAAATCTACCACCCATCTGTCAGTTTGTCATACTGTAGTGGCTTTCGTGGTGCTGGAAACTATGCCACCAGTATTTCAAATACCAGCAGGCTCACCCATGGAGGAGAGGTTTCAGCAGAAATTCCAGACTAAGACAAACTAGGAAGAAAGGCCTGGTGATTTACTTCTGAAAATCAGCCAATGAAAACCTTATTGATCACAGCAGAACATCATTCAATAATGTGAAGATTTTGGAAACATATGTTTTTATATCAGTAAAATCCTTTCTTCACATAAAATCTTAAGGGAAAGTTTAAAAAAAATGGAGAAAAGTAGATCTATTCAAGTGGAAGTTGGGGAGGACAGCTGGGAAAAAAGTGGGAGAAAGTAGTAGCAGCACAGTTAAAGTCTCAGTTGTTATTTTCTGCTGGTGTTTACTTATACTTATCCATTCTTCTCCTTTAATCTTTGTGTTAATTAACTTTAAGTCTCTTTTATCCCATAGTTGGATTTAGGTTTTAACCCAGGTTAGTTTTCACCAGGTTAGCTGGCAGTCTCTTTTCACTAGCATTGAGCATTAAATATTGTCTTTGTCTATTATTTAATGAGTTGACAGAGGATGCATTAGGAACTCATAGACAGATGCCATTTTGAGACAAAAGTTCAATGTGAATCTATTTTAGTTTTTCTTTGACACATGCCTTTGTTCTCACCACATAAACACACACATATATATGTAGAAACTGCATAGACATAAGTAGTTGAATAAAAATGATCTGTATTTCAATTCAAGTAATGAAATATTTATTATTCATCATCAGGGAATGAGTTGTTCTATAGAAGTGAATTTTTAAATAATTGAGATGTACCCCTTTTAAGTGGAAAACTTAAAAAAATAATAACCATTTTTGAGAAAAATCTACCTAAAATTATATGGTGATTATGAGTGCAAGCCCTGGAGTCAGACCTAATGGGCTTGTGTCACACTCCATCACAAGCTCCTTAACACCCTGTGCCTCAGCTGCCATCTCTGAAAATGGATATAATAACAGTACATATATCAAAGTATCAAGACGAGTTAATAAGTTACTCCATGTAAAGCTCTTAGAACAATATTGGGAACGTAATAATGTTCAATGAATGTTAAAAATTACTACTATCACCTTCTCAGGGCAAATACACTAAACGCAAACTCTTTTTGATAATCTAAGGTCACTGTGAACATCAAAAATCATACCACGTCACCACATAGTAATTCCCTCACATGGACTGCCTGTCCTTCCAGAAAATGGTCCCTGAATGCTAAGCACTGAGTTCTTGCAAGTGCTTTTTATCATTCACTCTTCAATCTTAACCTCTGCCAAGTTTTCAGCTGCCACTTCTTGATGCTGGTCAATGTGTAACTTAAATGCCTTGACCTAGTTTACTGCTTCTAAAACAATCAGAACAGTTTCTAAAGCAGGAATGGAACTATCTGGGTGGGAGGATGAAGGACGTACCTCTGAGTTAAGCATGCATTTATCAATGCACAGACTTTTAAGCCAGGGTTCCTTAAAGCTAGAAGCTGTTTCTCATTTGTTTTTATATCCCCAGCACCCAGCACAGTACCTGGTCCATGCTAAAATAGTCAATAAACGCTGTTCTGGTTTTATTGTTTTTTCTTTAGTTGAATATATTTATTTTGTACATTTAAGGGCCTTTTTTGATTATGTTTTCTTTTTTAATTATATTCCATATAGTTGTGGGTGACAGATAACTGGACACCAGGTAAACAAGAAATCACTGCATACTAATCTCGAAAATGAGACTAAAGATGTGATCCTCTTTTGGATTAAAAAAAAAATCCTTTATTTATATAAAAGAAAATTAAAGAACAGACAACTCAGAAAAAGATAATGATATATAGTCAACCTTTCCCTTTTAATATACTAATGCTAGAGGGGAATGAGGCTTGAATTGATTTGCTCATAATCCTTTCCCTTGAATATACTGTTAATACCAAAAATGAATGTAAAAGTGATAAATAATAATAATACAGACCAGCTACTCAAGGACATGCAGACATTCTCAAACACGAGAACTGGCTGTAAGTAACTGACTTAAGCAGGCATAAACACATCTATTCGGTCCCGACTCCACGGCATCTAACAACAACAAGCACATCTACTGGACACTTACAAAATATGTATTTCACTCTCGTCTCCCAGGAATTTAAGCAATCAAGAAACCAGATTCTGTCATATACGAGGAGACAGTTCCACCGTGGCCGGCATCACGGCACAGTAAAGAGAACGGAGCTGGTGCCGACCCAGACGTCGCCTGGCTGTGTGACTCCCCCCACCCGGTTTCTTAACCTCTCTAACCTCTGCTTCCCAAAACAAAAAATATGAGGGACTGGGCTGCATGACTCTTATAAATCTTTTCACTGCACACGTTCATTTTTTCAAACTTCAATAAAGGTACATGTTAAAAAATAAAATCATGCCAGTAAGAAAAAAGCCACTTAATAAGCTGAAAAATATAACCCAATATAATATATGTAAACTGCAGAAATTTTAAATTATTTTTAACCAAATTAAAAGAATTATATATGAATGCTAAACACTGAAACAACTATACTTTGGCACTGGAATTCCATCAGACTTATATCTCACTTGTTAAACAGTTGTATCAGAATGATTCTAAGTAGCTACTTCGATTCTAGCACATTTTAGGATATACATGCTTAACATCTGTCTCATGAACTTCTCCAGGCAAGCAGCACCATCTTTTACTCTCTGGTGCCTGTTTGGAAAACAAGCAATAGGTTATTTGTAGGAGGCAGGTGCTTCCTTGCTAGTAAAATCATTTAGCCTAATCATTTCCTGATTTAACAGATTAGGACACTTCATCAAACAATGACATTGAGTTTTACTACCCATATTTGTTTGATGTTCAAAGATCTTAAGAGCAGGCCCTGGCCACTCCAGATCAATAAAGACCATTAGATAATGTGTGTGTGCTTGAATTAGGGACAGCATCTAATGCTGACTGCTTCTCCCACCTCAAAAACAAGCTAGAATGTTATGCTCCCACCACGCTGCTTTCTTGTAGGCATGAGGAAATAATGTCATTCAGATGGCATTTCCTCCTCCAGAACAGATACTCACGACTAAGTTTTATACCAAAAGTTACTGAATGTGCACACCTGTAACAGTTTCTAACAAACAAAAGCTCTATACATCCCATTTAGCTATCCAGTTACATAGTCTAGGGCTGTGTAAGATTTATGACAGCTCTTTGAGCAGTCAAAAAGGATATTCCCCAAGGGGGGTACAAGACATCAACTCTTCAAGGCCTGAGATCACAGCAGGTTTAATAAAGGAAGAAGAACAGATGTCAATTTAAAAGGGGGGAGATTATGGAATTAATTGTAAACCAAAAAGTGACATGCTGAGCAACATTTTCTTCCAATACAAATAATGGTAGTAACATAGGGAATATGCACAAATACACTTATTTTTCTTTTAAAGATTGCTATTATTTTAAACAAGTCTTGTTTACATTGAAAACAATTAACTCACTTTAACTAGTTACTTTATTAAAAAACTAGGCCGATGGACACCTCATGGAAAGGGAAAAGCCATACGTATGAAGCCTAATAAAAAGAATCTAGGTCTACTCCCTGAAGTGAAACAGAACAGGAATGGTCAGAAGGTTACTGGATACAGACGAAAGGAGCTCCAGTATTTCCTTTCTTGTGCATTTCCATCAGGGACAGGGACTGAAAGCAGAAATCTTACTTAGCAGCTAAGTACCCAAAAAAAGATACTGGTAGGAGAAAGACTGTCTTTCTAGTTGTATCTGTCTAACAGTGCTCAGTAGGTCTTTAAAAAGTCTGGGAATGGAGTATATTCATTTAAAAGTAGTCAGCGTGTGCTTTGCTCCTTGGCACCAGCCCCTCTGTCTGTCTCCCAGGTACACAGATCCCATCTCTCAGGAAGAGAGCTGACCACAAAGTATGACAGAGCAGGAGCCCAGGAAGGCGTGCCTTAATGGATGCCAAGCTCGAGATCTGCCCAAAGAATCAACAATGGACTGGCAGGTACACCCAGAGGATCCAGAAGTCTTACCCAGTGGGGAGTGAGGCTGAAGATAGGCACGCTCTTCTTTTGGTAAGTAAAACATTTACAAAGCTGCATGGCTCAACAGCAGAAACTAAAGAAATTCTTTATTTCAATGAAAGCGATATTTTCCCCTCCTCTTTGGATATCATTTTGTAAACATGAAATATATGTAAGATCTTGCATTGAGCTGAATTACAATTGCAGCAATAAGAAACCTATTATAATTTTAAAGAGCCCACATGTAGGTCAACACATGTCAGCAGAAATACTCATTATTCTAAATAACAAGAAACATTCTTCTTCCTAGACATTAAGCTTCTGGAGGCCAGAGTCTATGTCCAATTAATCCTCAGTCCCCAGTCCCCCCAGCCCAATTAATACCTAGCATGATACCTTGCCCAATGTAGGCATTTACCATCTGCTCATTGAGTATGTGGATAGATAAGATGTGATATTAGAAAGTGTTTTGATAATTTTGCTTGACTTTAATTTGTATGCATTTTAATTAGTTGAAGATTTTCCCATTTTCCATTATGTGTATATTTTACACATGGATTAATTTTGTAAATATTAGAACACCAAATGATTACAAAAGCAGCAACAAAATCTTTGTTATTTTAACTACTTTTTTACTTTCCATATGTCTTATACCAAACAATTTCATAACTGAAGTGTCATAATCACAAACCCACTGGACTCTGCACTTTACTGTCTTAGATGTTAAGAGGGTGTCAACTGAGCCCAAGTTATTACTGATAACAGGGGTAGCAACACATGTCAGTAGAAATACTTTTCTAAACGACAAGAAACAATTATTAATCAATTTTTGAAAGTAGTAGCCAGTTCTTTCATTGTTTTATGTGCTTGTTAAATATTAAAAGTTCTTATTGCACCCGTGATACAAGAGAAGACAAAGTAATCCCATCGATTGTATCATATTTTTGAACTGGCAGAAAGAAATATAATTTCAGTCTTCTAAGAGGTTAACATAACAATACTCCTCATTAAATGGAGCATACAAGTGCTTGCTTTTAATACTAATTAATAATCAAACCAAAGAAGCTGTTTATAAACATTAAAAATAAAGAAGCAAAGTTTGGTTACCAGCTAGCTGAAATAAACTTAAAAGAGCTAGAACATATGGCCTTATAAAAATCAGCCCCCATTATCAATTTGTCTCGTTTGCTATTTTAAATCTTTTATAGCTTCCCATAAAACATATTACCTTTTTTTCATAGGTGCGTTTTAAATGACTTTTTTCCATTTGAAATTTATTTTCTTGATCCTGTGAATGAAAAATGTTTGTTTTTATTATAACTAAAATTAGTACTAGAGTTAATAAAATTGGTAATGAAATCAATCTACTTGATGATAAAGTTTATTTCAAATTTTGCATATTATTACTGGAGCGCCATCTACCCAGTTATGTAACTCACAGGTAGAAAGATGACTAGCTTTTGTACTATATGGCATAAAATCTTAGTTTTAAGATGTTCCTACTCTCAAAAGTACCTACTTTTCAGTGGAACAGAAACTGTCTCACCTTTAGGGTTAGAAGATTACTTTAAAATGACCAACTGAATCCATATGGAAATGACAGATTTGAAATTGTATCATAAACCAGTTGCTGGTACTTTCTGACCACAAGAAGGAAGGATGAAAAAGATGCACAAGATGGAGCGAGCCAGAGACAGACAGATGATGACAGTGGGTAGACAGTCATTTAAAAGAGGGAAAATCATTCTAAAATACTACTATGTTGAAATGAGATTCATTTTTAAAACTAACCTAAAAAAAGATTATTAAAATTAAAATTATTCTTTATTCTTCATATCCCATAGCATCTACAGCTGTCAGTTAAAATAAGTAAGACGAAAAATGATGCAATACAATAAAAGAATCAGAAATGACTACTTGCATTTCTGAGGCTCTTTCAACTGACTCTCATTTATACATATAAATCAAGAAAAGGAGAGGAGAGTTTCTGTCATTCTTCTTCTATGTAAAAATCCATAATTCACCTTTAGTTGTTGCATTCTTTGATGTTCTGATTCCTGTAACTGCTCTTTTAATAAACAGACGGTCTGTTCCAATTCTTCGATCAAACCAGATGCCTAGAGAGATTTTCAGAAGAATACAAAGCAGAATATTGATTTTTGTACCACCCTACAACTTCAGGCAGAATAAATTTACCTCTTTTCCTGAGAGTTCAATTAGAATTAAAATTCTCTATAAATCTGAATTAAAAAATGTTTGTCAAGAAAACTACAAAAGTTAATCTTTTAAAGTAGAAATATAAATAAAAATTCTACATAGTATTTAATGCTATAAAAAATATAACACTGATGTAAAAGTAATAGGTTTACAGAAAACTGTTTAAATTTTAAAACTAAATCCAGGAGATCATGAGGAAAGCGAAACGGAGGGGTGTGTGTCTAACCTAATGGTCTGCAACCTGGCCTACAGTGGAAAGCTGGAGAAGCTGAAGGAGAGGATCCTGGCCAATAAATCCCTAGCTACTAGAACTGAGCAGGACAGCAAAACTGCATTGCATTGGGCATGCTCAGCAGGACATACCAAAATAATTGAATTCTTTTTTTCTTAATTTTAATGTGCTTTAGGTGAAAGTTTATAGCACAAACTAGTTTCTCACTCAAAAATTTATATACAAATTGTATGTGACACTGGTTGCAATCCCTGCAATGTGTCAGCATTCTCCCCCCTTCCCTTTCTATCCCAGGTTCTCCATGACCATTTCTCCAGTCTTCCTGTCCTTTCCTGCCTTCTCATCTTTGCTTCTGGGCATGCGTTGCCCATTTGGTCTCGTACACTTGACTGAACTAAGAAGCATGTTCCTCAGGCGTGTTGTTTTATAGACCTGTCTAATCTTTGGCTGAAAGGTGGACTTTGGGAGTGGCCTCAGTTCTGAGTTAGCAGTGTCCGGGGACCATAGTCTTGGGGGTTCCACCGGTTTGTAAGATCAGTAAGTCTGGTCTTTTTTCGTGAATTCAAACTTTGTTCTACATTTTTCTCCCACTCTCTCAGGGACCTTCTGTTGTGATTCCTGTCAGAGCAGTCAGTGGTGGTGGCTGGGCACCATCTAGTTTTTCTGGGTTCAGGCTGGTGGAGGCTATGGTTCATGTGGTCCATTAGTCCTCTGGAATGATATGTTCCTTATGTCTTTAGTTTTCTTCATTCTCCTTTGCTCGGACAGGATGGGACCAATACACATATCTTAGATGGCAGCTTGCAAGCTTTTAAGACTCCAGACACTAGTCACCAAAGTACGATGTAGAACATTTTCTTTATGAACTATGTTATGTCAATTGACCTAGATGTCCTGAGACTATGGTCCCCAGTCCTCAGCTCTGTCCCTCAAGGTGTTGGATGTGTCTAGGAAGCTTCTATGACTTTGCCTTGGTCAAGTTGTGCTTACTTCCCCTATACTGTACGCTGTCTTTCCCTTCACCAGAATTAGTATTTGTCTACTATCTAGTTAGTGATTTCTCCTCCCCTCTCCTCCCCTCCCTCATAACCATCAAAGATGGTTTTTTTCTGTGTGTGGGTTCTTATAATAGTGGTCTCATACAATATTTGTCCTTTTGTGACTAACTTATTTCACTCAGCACATTGCCCTCTAGATTAATCCATGTTATGAGATGTTTTGCAGATTTAAGAAATAGTTGAATTATTGCTGTAACTTGGAGTGCCAGTGAATGATAAAGACGATGCACGTTCTCCTTTTGATATTGCTGTTCTGCTAGCCAGGATGAGATTATAAAAGCTGTTCTGGGAAAAAGTGCTCAAGTGAATGCTGTCAATCAAAATGGCTGCACTGCCTTGCATTATGCAGCCTCCAAAGACAGGCATGAGATTGCTGTCATGTTACTAGACAGTGGGGCTAATCCAGGTCTAAGGACCATTTTGAGGCTACAGCAATACACTAGGCAACAGCGAAGGATACTTAGTCTGTGATGATGAGAGACTGGAAGATGCAAAGCTGCTCGTGTCCCAAGGAGGAAATATTTACATTGAGAATAAAGATGAAAAGATACCCCTGCAAGTGCTCAAAGGTAGCCTAGGTTTAATACTGAAGAGAATGGATTTATTCTTTGTGTGTTTTGTGGTTTTCCCCAGTGTCCTGGAAACTAATGTCCTTGTGCACAAAACATTATCTACGAAGGATGTTTTCTCACCTTCAAAGTCTTATAAACATGTTGAATATTGTTCCTGCTGAGATATTTCTTCTAAGCTTACAAGCTGCTTTCCAGGTACTGAGGAGCTGTTGAAATTGTTCTCCTATTTGTTGTATATTATTCTATACCGAATTTTGGTTAATTTTGAGTGAGTGATTCTGTGGCTGTTATGAGTCTTCAGCACCCTCCCATGCACCCTTTTATCCCCCTCTAATGCAGAATAAGACCCATAGCACCAAGCCAATTATTCTGCCAAATATTTCTAGATGGATTGTAGAATGTTCCCCCATAAGTTGAAACACATCGTAACTTGTTTTTCTAGCTCACTCTGGCCTATGCCAAAATTCTCTATTTTTTCAACTGTAAGGTTGAATTCATTTTTGTTATAGGAGGAATACTTATATACCTTTGTGGACCAAATTTTAAGTTATCAAAGTCTGGCATTCATAAACACGAAAATAAATAAAACAATGAAAAAAATCCACTGGAATATTTAATTCATAAATACCAAGTAACTCACTATCTTAGGATTGTAGATATTGGACTCACTTTGCAGAAAGTTTCCGTCATCTGACACAAAAGTACGTGAATGCAGGTGAGGGTCCTGCGAGCTCATACATGTGTATGACACCAAGAAAACTAAAGCAGACTTTAAAACATTACATAATACAGTCCCTAAGGGAGTTTGGATGTGTCTATGGGGCTTCCATGACCTTTCCTTTTACAAGTTGTGCTAGTTTCCCCTGTACTGGAAGCCCCATAGACACATCCAAACTCCCTGAGGGACTGAATTGCTGGGCGGAGGGCTCTGGGGAGGATGATCTCGGGGAACATCTAGCTCAATTGGCATGACACAGCTTATAAAGACAATGCTGTACATTCTACCTTGGTGAGTAGTGTCTGGGGTCTTGAAAGCCTGTGAGCGGCCATCTAAGATACTCCAATGGTCTCATCCCTTCGGGAGCAAGGGAGAATGAAGACAACAGGATACAACGAAAAGATTAGTCCGAAGGACTAACTGTCCACAGCTACCAAGGCCTCCACCGGACTCAGTCCAATACAGCTAGATGGTGCCCGGCCATCACCACTGACTGCTCTGACCGGGATCACAACAGAGGGTTCTGGACAGAGCTGGAGAAGGATGTAGAACAAAATTCTAACTCACAGAAAAAAGACCAGATTTACTGGCCTAAAGGAGACTGGAGAAACCCCATAAGTATGGCCCCCAGACACCCTTTTAACTCAGTGGTGAAGTTACCTCCGAGGTTCACTGTTCAGCCTGGGAGTGGACAGTCCCGTAAAACCAAATGAGACTAACGAGGTACAGGAGTCCAGTGACAAGGGCCAGAAAGCAGAAGGGGACAAGGAAGCTGGTGATACGGAACCTAAGGTTGAGTAAGGATATTGTTGATGTGTTGTGAGATTGTTAACCATTGTCGTAGGGCAACATTCGTAGTAACTGTTAAATGAGAAACTATTTTGTTCTGTAAGCCTTCATCTTAAGTGAGAATAACAGCACAATTCAGAGAGCGTAGTCAATGTCACTGAACTGTGCATGTAGAAATTTCTGAAATGGTGTACCTTTGGCTATGTGCATTTTCACCAAAAAAAAAGGTTGAGAAGTTAGAAGGTTGATATGTTGTGGGGTTGTTAACCAATGTCATAAAACAACATGCGTACTTCTGTTTCATGAGAAACTATTCGTTCTGTAAGCCTTCACCTGAAGCACAATAAAAAAAATAAATAAATAATGTACAATAAAAAAAAAAAAGGATTAAAAAAAACAAAAAAAATTACATAATAACATATACAGTTTTTCTAGGAAACCCTGGTAGCATAGTGGTTAAGAGCTACAGCTGCTAACCAAAAGGTCAGCAATTCAAATCCACCAGATGCACCTTGGAAGCAGTATGGGGCAATTCTGTTCTGTCCTATAGGGTCACTATGAGTCCGAATTGACTTGACAGCAACGGGTACAGGTAGTTTTTCTACGTAATGTATTATTAACACAATTGAGAATTTTCTCAGATTCTAATTTCCTGCTTTAAGAACTTTGGTACATGAAATGGTTAACTTTTTCTGGTAAAATTTAGTTTATTAAACATTTATGTTGTACTATATATATATATCACAAATTTAGTATTCTAAATATTATAAATGCAATAGAAATTTTTGACGTTTCAGATATTTCAAAAATAAAGCAGTCTGAGACCAGAAGAACTAGATGGTGCCCAGATACCACCAATGACTGCCCTAACAGGGAATACAACAGAGAATCCCTGATTGAGCAGGAGAAAAGTGGGGTGCAGAATTAAAATTCTAGTAAAAAGACTAGACTTAATGGTCTGAGACTAAAGGAACTCCAGAAAGCACAGTCCCCAGACTCTCTGTCAATCCAGAACTAAAACCATTCCTGAGGCCAACTCTTCAGACAAAGATTAGACTGGACTATGGGACATAAAATGATACTCATGAAGAGTGTGCTTCTCAGCTCAAGTAGATACATGAGACTAAATGGGCAGTTCCTGTCCGGAGGTGAGATGACAAGGCAGAGAGGCTCAGGAGCTGGCTGAACAGACATGGGAAATCGGGGGTAGAAAGGAGGAGTGTGCTGTCACAGTACAGGGAGAATAATTCGGGTCACATAACAATGTATGTATAAATTTTTGTATCAGAGACTAACTTGAATTTTAAACTTTCACTAAAGTACAATAAAATAAAAAATAAAAAAAAGAATAAAGCAAAGGTCAGACTAATCTCACAAGTCAAACAGCTTCTACCTGGCCTTCGATGACTAAATGCTGAGTAAGTAAATAACTACTATGGGTGGAGGTATCTACCAGCATATACAATACCTTAGAAGCCGAAAGAGCATGTTCCTGTTTCAGAAGGTTTATATCAGCATCAAATTTGGTTTGTAATAGTTTCATGTTTTGCTCATAATCGTTTACAAGATGATCTTTCTCTTTATGTAGTGTATTGCGCCTAAAAGCAATAAGAGAATACAACAGACTTCCATTATTTTTAGAATCAATCTCTAAAACAGACTTTTTTTTTTTTTAATTGTACTTCAGGTGAAGCCTTACAGAACAAATAATTTCTCATGAAACAGTAGTACACATATTGCTTTATTGCAACGGTTAACAACTCCACAACATGTCAACCCTCTCCATTCTCGACCTTTATTTTTTGGTGAAAATATACATAGCCAAAGATACACCATTTCAAAAAGTTCTACAAGCACACTTCAGTGACATCGACTACACTCTTCCAATTGTGCTGCTATATTCTCACGTTAGATGAAGGCTTACAGAACAAAATAGTTTCTCATTTAACAGTTAGTACACATGTTGCCCTATGACAATGGTTAACAACCTCACATCAACACTATCCTTACTCAACCTTGGGTTCCCTATCACCAGCTTTCCTGTCCCCTTCTGCCTTGTGGCCCTTCTC